TAGAATTAACGAAACGTGATGGAAAGGACCACTTTCATAGGAAAGGCTTGAAATGAGGGTATAAATATCAAATTTGAAACAATAGGGACTATTTTAGCAATGAATGCAAACAATTGGGATGTTTTTTGCTAATTACTCATAATTTTGTTTTGTCATTTTATGTTCATACTTATAAAAACTTTAGATTTTGATATAGAAGGTCGAAAGGCTAGGCGAGGGGTATGGAAGAAGGTTAGGGTTCAATCCCTCATTTTTGTAAGAGAGAAGGTTAATGGGTAATGTACTAATAGTGTCATTTTGTATCAATCGATAAAGATAAAAGAGCAACTACCGTGGCGACATATTCTTCCCCTTTCCTTCTGCTTTGATGAACTCTGCTATTACTAAAAGTTGACTTCAATAATAATGTTTAAGACTTCTCAATGTTATTATATTTTAATTTTTTATTTACATTCTTTAACAATATTTAAATGTGAAAAAATAAAAATACAAACACAATTATTAAGTTATAGATAAAATATATTATAAATTAATTGTGAAATGTACAGATTCAATAATTGATCCACTCTAGTTATTGAAAGGGAAAATAATAATAATGAATGGCTGAAATTGAAAAACGTATGTCAACAGCCAAGGTTGAAGGGAGTTTCGTACACATGGCGAGAATACGAGTAGAACAATTTTTGCATGTCATTTTATGTTCATACTTAAAAAAACTTTAGATTTTGATATAGAAGGTTGAAAGGGCCAGGAGAGGGATATGGAAGAAAGTTAGGATTCAATCCCTCATTTTTATAAGAGAGAACGTCGTGGGTAATGTACTAATGTGTCGTTTTGTATCAATCGATAAAGATAAAAGAACAACTACTGTAGCGTCATAATCCTCTTTCCCCTTTCCTTCTGCTTGGATGAATTCTGCTATTACTAGAAGATGACTTCGATAATAATGTTTAAGACTTCTCAATGCTATTATATTTTAATTTCGTATTTACATTCTTTATCAATATTTAAATGTGAGAAAAAAAAAATATAGACACAATTATTAAGTTATGGTTAAAATATATTAGAATTTATTGTGAACAATGTAGATCCGATAATTGATCCACTCTAGTAATTGAAAGGGAAAATAATAATAATAATTATAAACGGCTGAGTTGAAAAACGTATGTCGACAGCCGGGGTTGAGGGGAATTTTGTTCACATGGCGAGAATACAATGACTAGAACAATTTTTACTTGTCATTTAATGTACGCACTTATAAAAACTCTTTTTTTCTATACAATGGACGAATGATTCAGAGTACCATCACTTCTATTATAATAATAATATTCATACTAACGATTATCCATAGTTGTCATATGTAACATACATGTATTATTAATGCATCAAATAACAAAGCCCGATATATATGTCATATAGAACGACTACTGATAGTTTTTACTATGAATGACATTACTCTTTTTATTAATCTCATACAATGGGTAAATTTTGGGAGGCTTGACCTAGTCAGTCCAATTTCATTTTTTCTTATGAAAAAGTATTTTTTATATGTTAAAAATTTACATATTAATCCATTATGTAAATTCTAAAATTTAATAAATTAATAATCTATTTTAATTACTCAATTCAATCAATACATGCCAGGCTATCAATATATCTTATGATCAGTTTCTAAGTACTTCTAACCATAGCATGTAAATAAAATCTAGTGTTCTAAGAGGTTTAATCAACTGCAAGAAATTAACTAATAGATTAAAACATAAACTCGAGATATAACATGGTAAAATCCTAAAGGAAACATTCATGGGCCCTCTTACAATAGGTAAAATAATTTATTAAATCAAACGATAAAAATACAACATTCTCAATTTTATAATTTCACAAATCTAACAAATAACAATCAAAAGAAATCAAAGAACAACCCCCTCATTTTATTCTTATTTTGACTTATTGCAAAAGTAGAATCAAACTCTCCAATCTTGACTTTATCATCACTTCACTATTGTACTCAATCGTAACCACCACTTGGATCAAGAATCATAATTCTTTAACTTACGACAAGCAACTTGATCCTTGCACTGATTGAACATTCAGAGCAGATTGATTTGTGTTTTCCAAACACTTGAAGAAAACATTGGCTCTAAAGATACTCAATGACGCATCACGTTCTGATGAACTCTTTCAAGAATGGTAGAACTACTTTGCTGTAAATAACAGTAGAACTGCTTATTGCTGATTCACGAACTGGAATTAGTTTTTACAAAGCTTGACTTTGAATTAATTAATAAAGCATCATGTCCTGTGTGCAGGGAATCTACTTATACATGCACAGCGGAAAATTAAAATTATTTCGATTCCCACCGAGGATCCCTTTGTGTTTAGATAGAAATCGTGATAAAGATTGTACCTTTGAAGAATTCTACAAACCTTTTGCTTTTTTTCTCGTTCCAGCAATCTTAATTTGCCACCACAGATGTCCAATTGTCCAGCCTCCAACGGTGATCCACACAGAGAATAAAATTGTAGCTTCTAGAGTTTTCTCTTGTGCCAGCAAAAATAATGAAAATCATATGGACCTCAAACTCTAGCTATGTATTTATATAAACCCAAACGGGCTTGACCCGGTCCGGTCCAATATTTAATTAATCCAATTAATTAAACCCGGTCCGTAAATTAATTAATCCAATTAATTAATTCGGGAATATAAATAACAAATCCAATTAATTAATTTATCCAACGATTGTTAAATTAACCAATTGGCAATTTTCAATCTTCCAATTCTCTTTTGTGTGCGACCCATTAGGTTCCCGACCACGATGCCTAACGACGTGAAATATTATTTTGATCTATCAAAACTGATAAATTAAAACACCCTTTTAATTTATCGTCAGTTCACACTCGCCGTCCCTGATTGACATCTAGCAATGTGTCAGGGCAATACATGTGACGGAAAATGTCACGTGGTATGACAAAA